TGAAAGCACGATCCCGTCCTAAAAATGCATCTCAAACTTGGATCAGGCATAAACTAAACCCCATGGGAATTCATAACTTTAACGGAAAGCAAAAAACCAATAGGCGTAAGTTACATTAAAATATTCCGATAGTTAGTGTTGACACTAATTGATCCTCCTAAATTTGTAGTTATCAGGAAAAATGTCAACAAAATACGGGATAGGGGGTCAGTCAAGTTTGGCTAAATTGGCCTTGAAAAGGGAAGGCCTCACTGATAGCAGATGCATAGTAAATAGCAAATCATGAAAAGATGTAGCGTGATAGCACAATTAGGAAGATTTGAAAATAAGTGGCGCCTAAGAGCGTAATAGGCTAATTTACGGGCAACAGAAATCAAGAAGACAGAATGCAAAATAGCAAATATTGAAATTAATTAATAATATTAAATATTTCCGGATGAGCAGAGAACTTTAGATATTATTAGCTATTAGCGCATGACAGTACTGCAATCGGATAATAAAGCCAGCTGGTTTTATCTTAATGTGCTGTCATGAATTAGGGAAAAGCCATGAACCAATGACTGCAGGGAAACAATCCAAAACAAGGATGACTAACATTAGAAGCCAAAATGAGCGCATGCTGAGTCAGGAATTGCCTAGTAAACCTCAGGTTATATTTCTTGGAATGCTAGCAGGCTAAAATTAATTAAAAATGAGAATTCGGAGTTATTGCCTTGGACGAATGAGCATTAACCGGAAGGCCCATGACATAAACAAGGACAAACTTGCAGAACTCACACAGCCTTCAATGCGAAGTGGAGTATATATCAAAATTGATTAAATAAATAAAACGCGAGCACTGGTTCCAGATGCAAGATGAGCAAGCAAATGAGCAAATAACAACTACTAAAAACAAGACAAGTATAATTTCATTTAAAATTACAAGAAAAAAGATGTGACGATTTTTTTATTAGAAAATAACGTTGAAGAGAAATACAAAACTTAGTGCTAAATCTCTACATAAAATTAAAATCGCAACAGAAAAAACTGTACAGTGAGTATAGCGAAAGGACAATTAGACTGGTCAGGATGTTGAAGACTAGAGATTAGAAAATTTGCCGACAAGTATACTGAGACAAGCAGAAGAGAGAATCTTACATTCTGAATCATCTTCATAACGAACAGATGATTCTAGCCACTGAAATAAATTCATTTCTTTACTTATTTGAGATAATGAAGAGCTAGTCATTGGAGAAAGTTGAGAATGCATAGAACCACATACACTTAATTGAGAAATGTCAACATCAGGCAAGACCTGTACCAAATGAGGTCGTATGAGAGGCTGAGGCAATTGAGTAAAAGAGATGAGAAGATCGTCAAGATAAATGCTAGGTGTGGTAGTCAATACTGTACCCAGCGACGTAAGGCAAGAGCGCCGAACTGCTGGCTCAGGGTGAGAGCGAAGACCAGAGACTACTTCGATCATACATTTGGCCATGGAAGGAAGTATCGAATCATAACCACAGCAAGCATATATAGTGGCCATTGTAGCGACCAGACGAGCCAGCAACGCATCGTCTTGATGAAAGAACGCTGTACCAGACGCGAGTCGATCTGCTAAGGTAGGAACAAGACTTGCAAGAGGAAAGAAAAAAATTCCTGCGTAACGAGTAAAGTCATTTCGATGATATATGAGCCTTTTCGTTTTTAAATTATCTTCTTCATTATTCGTTATATTATTCAACTTTTCTTGAGTAGCCCTGGTCATTAAAGTCTTATTAGGTGAATCAGCAGCCAGACAGCAAGAAATATCAGTGATAGCAGAAAGTATATTGGATTTTTGGGCGAAAGAAAGCTGAGAACTGAGATTATTTCGGCAGTTCACGTCATCGACCAACAATCCAGTCAAATAGGGTGCCACCTTGGCTGGAGCAACTGTACCAATTGCTACTAAAGCATCATGTTTTGCCGCTACGACTTTAGTATCATCAGGCGATGGAGGCATTTCTGAGTGAATCAAGGCACTCGCGAATTCGATTGCTAATTCTTTAGAGGCGAATGGATGTGAGCGAATGAGACTTCCAGCCGAAAGTATACAAGAGATCACAGTTGTATTATCATCAACGCTGGAAAGTAGCATTCCATCAAGGCATTCTCGAAGATAGTGGGGTTTTGAAATAAGGGGTCCACCAGCAAGAAGTTTTCGAGTAGAAGGAAGTCTGGGGAATTTTTGATTTATTCCGTTACTTTCATAATCTTTTTCATCATCACTATCAGAATAAGTAGGACTTCCGAGTGGAGAAGAGTTGCCTTCTTGTTTTGTTACTACAAAAGACATTAGATTTGAGAAAATTCCATAG